CGGTTCAGCAGTGGAAAAGCCTTTGTCACCTTAATAGGCAAGATTTCTGTTGATTTCCGTTGTGCTAACCGTGGCATCCCGAAGGGTCTTCACAAATCAGGGAGTGACGATCTAAACCAGGCCATCTAGGCACTTAACCAGGTAACCGTATTTGCGTCACCTGTATATAGTCACTAGATATGCTTCTCTATCCATAGTGTGCATACACCGACTTTTGAGATTTTCGGCGCCTGTGGCAGAAAGGTTTCCACAGGATGTGAAAAACACCGGTGAGACTTCACTCTTGATTGTGTTCTCTTAACCTGTGTTTATTCCATAAAACTATAAGCAGTATGTTTGTCTCTGGATGTGATGAAATATATTGATCGCGGGAAATCGATCACCCAGGCTGTAAGAATTCCAGTGTATGGTTCCGCAAAATGACTGTCGCGTCTCCTGTCAATCAGCGACACTAGTGAAAAATGAGAACATTCATCTGCGTCGCATCTACGTGGTAAACCGGGTTCCTCAACATGTGATCAGACTACATACATATAGGACAGTTACTGTTTCAGATACATGAGGAGGATCGTAGATATATTTTTGGATCTCTCATTCTCACGCGATGGTCCAATTTTGACTCCGTGTCCTCAGAATTAGTGTGCTTTGGCAATGGACACGAAAACACGACCAAGTTGTGTCGACTGAACTACAGCATCGGCTTTCATGTTGAGGTCTCTGAATACGGCGAAAACAGACAAAAATGTGTCTCCTTAAATGTCGCAGATGGCTGCATTAGTGTTGCATCGGCTGTGTTTTATTGCAGTGGCTTTTAAAAGCACGTGCATCGTTTATCGAGTTGATTTAACTGGCTGTCAGATGATTGCTATTCTGGTCGTGTTTCTTCATGAAAAAAGGTTAATTTTAGTGGTCACATCTCCCAGCGGCCTGAATCTGTCCCGGATTTGTATGGTTGGTGCGCGCGGATCCCAAACATTTGGTCGCTTTGTTTGGCTGCACAAACCGTATTTCGGAGAGATGTCCTATTGGCACACAATATTTTAGTGTACAGATACAAATCAAGGCGACCTTTTCTAGTTTTCTAGTCTTTATTTAACATGCAAATTTATTCGTACACAACTCGAAACCTGCTACAACTTGGAACAGCCAATTCAGTGAGTGCCGTGAAATTGCGAAACCAGTTCAACGTACGTTCATTTCATCCAGGAAATCGTGGTTCCTTCTGTGTTTGCACCTATGCATGTCGTGCAGTATGATCAATTGTAAGCAACCAAATGCATCTTTGAGAACAATAATAAATGATTAAATTTCAAAGATTATCTCGTCAGTCATAAACTGGATAGTTGGGTTGCACATAGCGCAGGCGAAAAATTCGTCTTGCTGAGCTCCATGAGAGGTTTATTCTCTAGAAGTTCTGGCATAAAGTAACCGTTCATATGTCAGATAGAGGTGTAGCAGATCACCTTTGAAACTACCGTATACAGATAATACAGGGATCAACTGTCTTCTGGTATAAGATTCGACACCCCGCACATGTATTTCCTTTTAGGCATTGTGTACTTAAACTTCTCATTGTTTGCTGTATAAAATTACGAGAAATATGGTAAAACTCATCGTTCATAGACCCTTGATTAGGAGACATCAGCATCTAGGTATAATTTGCTTTATCTGCATGGACTCCTCAACACCCCATTGGTCCCGGAAAACATCACAAACGCCGCTCTGTGCTCTTCTAAAAATATTCGGTTGGGAAATTAATTAACCAGAGGGGAACTGCACTTGTGCGCGCATTATTAAAATGTACGATACATAGAATAGGACAGAATATTAAACAAAAGAGATGAGAACGATACACTTGACGTGTGTTTTGACATGACTCCTTTATTACCTAGTTCGGAAACAGGTAGATCAGTACCCTGTAAACACAAAAACCAATTTCAGTTAAAGCTGAAGGAGGTTTCATCAGGCATTATTTTCATTTCCGACCATGATTCTTCCAAGTATCTCCAAAATAGTTACAAAAAAGTGTGTATCAAAGTTACTACCAATTTTTATGACGATTGTTCATCGGCTTACAGAGCATTTTGCCACAATCAATGAAGGCGTTGCTGGTACTAAATGTCGATGATCGCACAACGGTGCGAGACTTGTAATTGGGAAGACTTGCTTTATATTTAAAAATCAAAAACAAAGTGCGCTGTTGATAAGGGGTTCATCTATGTCAACCGGGGGCGGGAAATTCGTTTCACTGGTCCCGTAATCCAGGAGATTTTAGCATATCTTCCCACCTCTTTTGTGACTAATTACATTAGTCAGGGGAACCAGTGTGCCACCTGTGGATACTTAGACATAATTGCCTGGCAAAACACAACGTATTGATCGTTTATTTATCTCCATTGTGAAAATGAACTGATTATTTGAAGTATGTTCATTGGCAGTTAAGGATTAATAAAATAAGGTTATCAGTACTCGCCGGAAGAAGCCGATTGCTCCGCGCTTATCACGAACTGTGAAAACCAAATGAGTTGACGAGAAGGTCAGAAAATAACTCTGCAGTGAAATCATCTTTATAGCCTTGATATCTTCTCTATACTTCTTAAACAACTGAGGCTGTTCATCGCTGTTCAGTGAGGCAGTTTTGTACGGAATATTTTCATTATCTCAATTCGTTTCTTTGGGTGTTCAGTGCTTAGTGGCATCTGGCGATATCAGTCAATGAAAGGTTTTGATGAAATTTTGAAAAAATACTATATCTTGCACTAGAATGTATTTTGAATAGTAAAGCTGAGATGAAAGTACTGTGGCTGTTGTACCTAAGGGAGGAAATAGAACTTTCACTAGAAGATCACTGGAAGAAAATTTTGAAAAGCACTAACAACAGGAAGCCTTTAACTGCTTAAAGGAGTAAGCATGAAGTCAGACGTGGTTTTTTCCATATTTTCAGGACAAGTGCACAATAGCAAATCCCAAAGTGGCAGAAATTGCAGCCTTCGAACTGGGAGTTGAGCCTCAGCAGTTGACAAAAGTTATCACAATGAAGCTGACGGTAGGTCCCAGGGATCGTTTTGAACATGGCTTATGGATTTTTACTGAAGGTCACCGTTAGATACAAGTCACTCCGTTTTGCTAATCAGGTGTTCTCTTTTCAGTGTTCAAAGATAGGCCTTGCAACCTAGGTATAAAAAACCACCAAAAGTCGAAACCTTAAATCAATACTCAAACCACATCCAGAAGATGTTTTTCTTCAGTTCAACTCACATACATGGATTCATGAATCACACATTGCCCTTGATGAGCTTCAGCTTCTCTGTTTCAAAATCACAGAACCAAATTTAGCTGGATGGGAGCTTTACATTTTTGTGAATTTTTCAAATCAGATGTAAGAAAACATCTCTCCATCTTCACGTGCGTACCCTGTCTACATATTTTATCAAGTGGTGTAAGACCCTTTTTTCATCCGTCACCTTATTAAAAAAACAATTCACTGCACCAACAATTCATTCAAAATAGCACAACACTGTTAGAGCAATCGCACTAAATATCAGCAGTGGGCAATGTTGGAGGAAGCACGTAAGGCAGTATAAGTATGCAAACCTGCAAGTGAATAGTATTTGAGGTTTAGAATCCCGGTATCCAGCAATCCAGGAAGGTGTCACACATCCTCCACTGTTTAGCTGGGTTTAAACATTACCTTCTAACTCCACAATAAAAAAACGAGTTCAGTTCCGATAACGGACGAATACCACATCACGATGATTGTGCCTAATCGTTTTATGGTCCTTGTAGTGATTTTCTTGCGGAAACGGGGATGAAATTTCCAGGAAACATTTGTCCGTTTGCCGCAGCTTCTTATGGACGTGTGCACGTGACGTAACATTAGACATTACGCAACGCTGTAAAATGCACTTTATCTGGTATCGAAAATTCATGTGCCACTGAGGGTGTGGGCTATTTGAGACACTGTAGGAAAGGAAACAACTTGATATCAAGTCTGAGTATAACAGTTATGTATACCAGATTTACTACCACGATCGCGTGGCATAAACCTTGTATATGCCGTAAAGGTTTTTCGTATTTTTGCTGTTTTGTTGTGATTGTAAAGTAGCAAGAGATGTCGGTTATGAAGTGCAGAATGAAAAAATGTTGAGTATTCACACCTTTGTTCCAAGAATAAAAAGGTTGAGAGAAGCGACCGAAGTCACGTTGCGTTCTTCGAAGATTATGGTGGCAACGCATCGATTGACATGAGCCTCGTTATTAGGTTCGTGGAGTAATTTTGCTTGATTGCTTAAACTAATCGGGTACTAGCCCTTTTGATAGATTTCTCTGAGAACCCCACAGGTCGTAAACTAGCATCCATATCGGATGGTTACCAGCACCAAGGTCAGTTTTAGGACAACCAGTCGATTACATTCATGCGTGGAAACCCTCTTCATTGAAACCATCAAGTACCTCATATAATTCAAATCAGACAGTAGAACTCTCTGTAAAAACTCCAGCTGGTGAAGCTAAGTGTCTACAAGCCAATTTAATTAAAATATTAACTGGAAAATTAAGGCGGAATTCTAGTTATGTTACAAATCAAATCAACGTTAAACCTACTTTTGATATGGCATGGGAGTTCCGGCCCATAGTGTGCTCGGATTCTGTCAAATAGATTAGGTGCGACGTGGTGTATAATGTGGAAATTCCAGAAAATCTCCCCTCAATCAAGGATGAATTGAGGAAGGCGTATCATCCTATATGAAATATCGATGGTTCGTGGTACACTACATTAATTCAATAATCACTGGCATGCATGGACCAGAGAGTAAAAAAGAGCATTCACCCCCATTTTCTACTCTTCCCCATTCCACGCAAATGTGCCGTGCCCGTCTGAGACTATTCAAAACTAGTTCCATTGGTAGATGTTCTAGATCAGTGGTTAGGTCGAACTTGATAATGAGAACGTTGAAGGGCAACGGTAACCGGACTATGAATACTATTCTTCTTGTTCCCTTGCAAACCGATTGTTGAAAGCGCGGTAATCAGGATGCGAGGTCAAAAAGCATTTTGGAATATCCACCAAGCATGCTTCTTAACCACAGTTTCCGCGCTGGGCATCCCTTCTTCCCCTTGACAACAGATCGCATCATACTTGAGTATCACGGAGAAACAACCTAAGAAACAACCCTTTTGGAAAAGCAAGCTGTTGGTTTGAAGGAACTGAAGTTACCAACCTTCGCAAATCATTACTATAAACGCTCTTTTTCAGCCCACTGCCCCATTCAGCTGTGGCTTTCGTATTGCTGTCATGCGTACGAAGGGTCTACATCTAAAAATCCCTTCCGTAGCAATCATGCCGCTTGGAGGTCCGAATTTCACGATTCGTAGAACTCAGCACTGGTTATGTAACAGTTGTTTCATACACGCTGTTGGCTGTAACGATATCGCTTTAATCAGGTCCGGTTGTTATCGCTCTTGTTATTTGCCAGCATGGATGCAGATGATTAAACTATCCTTCGGTAGAGGTGGACAAACAAAGTGCATCGCCAGATGTAGTTAAACAAGCTGTGTGACTTGCTGCTTTAGGCTCCTCTGAGCACCAACCAAAGCGTCAGCCAATACAAAAAACAGTTCTTTGTAGTTTGCGGTGCCAGCGAGGCATACACGCACTCATTGAACAGTATTCATGTGCTGTGTCAATGGTTGCATATTCTGTTCACCCTATGACAGAAGGGACACAAAGATAAGCCTTGGTTTATTTTATCAAGAAGAGTGCTGCAGTGCGAGTAAGTATGACTGGTATGATGGTCATCGACGAGTACGAAGTCAGATTTTTGAGCATCTTATAGCTTCTCCTTAAAGCAATCCTAACTCTATACACCTAACCCAAACGTCGGTAAAGACAAAACAATGTACCAAGGCGCCTCAAGATATTTTAACTGAAGCGCTGATGATTCGATAAACGCAGCTGCTGTCGGTGAACATTATTCGGGGAAATGGATCTTCTCGTCTATTTTCTCTGTGGCGGTGGAACCTCGAATGGGGAGCACCAGTATTCCCGTAAATCCGTAGAGCTTTCCAAAATAGGGCTGGTATGGTACAAATGATAGGTACGAAATTTCACCTAGATGTTGACCAGCGTGAAAGTGAGACCAGATGTAGCTGAAGACTGAAAAGACAAAACATGAATAGTCGCAGCAGCTTTCAAACATTCATCGCGATATGGAAGTACGAATTGGAGTAAAGGTATTTGCAACCTACCGCTCCACTGACCTAGGAGCATTTAGTGAAAGCACTTAGTGATAAGTGATTACAGGAGGTCCACATTTTTCTGATAATATTGGCTTCAGAACCTTGGGGACCAGAGTATTTTGGCTACCATTTAAATGTGATGAAAAACCTTCAACTAGTAACAAGTTGGAACACCCTGGTAGATAATTACAACGAATAGGTAACGAATTCTCAGGGCGATCTCATCCTTACCTGGTGAGTTCTTCGTCAAACGGATGGTGCAATCAACTTCCTGCCCGTAATAGCCTGGGTTACATTCTAGGTAGATGGCAGCAGTGGACGGCTTGACGCTTTGTCAGTGTTTTGGATTGGCGTCGAAAATCAAAGTCTCGTGTGCGTGGATGTACAGAGTTCAGGATGCAGCATAACTTACAACAATATCATGGGGCTCAATTGTAGACCACAAGCAAGTACCAGAAGGTCAGCAGTGATCCGGACTCGAACACTGGCAAGGTGATGCAAATGGTTCGGTTGTTCCAGCGAATTTAGGGCGCCAAATTTGGAGGAAGGTAGAGCCGTTTGACTGCAGTTTGGTCGAGATCACCAGATGACGACTCACTCTAATGCCCTTGAAAGTTATGCACAAGCAGCATGATTTTATTACAAATGATCGAGCAACTAGGTTAATATAGTTGATGTCTGGAAAACGTGGAGGCTTGCGCAGCACAAAGCCTAAATAATTTGTCACTTAGCCACAGGATTGTCTAGGGCTCACGGATGGACAAGAGAGACTAATTATCCATCGGGAGAGGTTTCCTACACTGTGCTTTCCGGGGTGGACCTACTTGCGAATCCCCAGAGGAAGAAGCGACAAAAAGGGAAAAGTTGATTGAAAACTCTCATAAACTTCAGTACGATGAGCCCATCACGGTCATGCTGATGAACTTTGTGATCCCCTTCTGTGCGCTGGTTGTAACTGGTCTAAAAACTTAAGTTAGATTACATCTTTCGGATGTAGCCAACAGGTTGAAAGTATACAGAACTCGTCGTCGGACTCGGTTAGAGTAGCAAACCTGTTGGCTTCCACAAACTCGTTTTCTAAGTACTCGTTTGGCACCATGAGAAGATCGTTCGGCTCACCGAGTAAGGCAGAGCTATTAAATGAGACTGACACCCAGGGCCCCTTACAACTACTCGGACCACGGGAATCCGTAAACCAAACCCACAAGGAATCGCTGCGGTTGAACTCCACTGGGTCGGCTAAAGGCATCGGAATATCAGGCTGCACCCCTACGACCGTGTCAAATGCGGATCTAAAGCTCTCGTGGCCACCCGAAAAACAAACGAGTTGTGAGGCCTATCAAGCAATCATGAAGAAACGCAACAATGTGATTAGACAAAAGAGTTCTGACCAGTCCTATTTTGGGGAGCTGTTAGGCCTAGATCTAGTGAAGGTAGCAACACAGCCTGAAAAAGGTCTGACATAACCAGTGGATCATGCGGGTACAGTAATCAAGAATAGACCATAGGTGAATTTCAAAAATGCCAGCTATGTTGAAATCTGTGATGATGAGATACACAACCACGCTTAACTGCATTTGCAATAAGGTGTATTCTGGTCAAATTGATTTTATGGTTAAATGACAGATTACGGGTGTACGCTTTCACTTAAGTAAGAAAGTATCATAAAATTCCCTGCAGAGGCACCCGATGGTTTCGGTGATACTTCCCCCCCCCCCTAAAATTCTCCTTCAGACAGTGAAAATAAGTCGCCATTCTAATGAGGGGATACGCAACGATTGTTTCGAGTGTGGTGTACGAAACTTTTGCAGAACGCCTAGTTGATGGGTAGGATTCTATCATTATCATTCTAGCATTATGACTGATTACGTCTCCTTGTTTTACTATGTTGCATTACATTTCGAATGTGTTGATTTTTGTCATGTTGGATTACGCGAAAACGTGACGTTTTCATGAATAGACAAGTGAATTCCTTAGTGAAAAATCCAGCACACCACTGAAAGCATAGCTGCGAAATAATCCCACGCATAACAACACGTGATACCTCTTGATTATCCCTAGCTTACCTTGGGTGGAATGTTTCGTACTGACACCATGTCGATCAACTTTCCAGTGATAAGTATTGTTGTGAATTTGTTTTCAACCATCTCACATGATGTCTCCCTAAACACCGGTACGTTTACTAGGCCTGAGTGTCGCTGACAAACACCCATTCTAGAATAGTTAACGCGCTTGGCGATGGTTCAAGGGCCAATTTTAAGTGTACGTTGAATAACGCAGATTCATGATACCTTGTAATCGATTAGGTTGCTAACTAACCTGTAAGAAGCTTTAGTTGGTGAAAATCTAGAGCTCCAGTCATGTCGCTTTTCAGTCTGCAGACTTGTTTGTCGTGGTCCCCGCAAACGGAATATGACGAAATCTAAAGTCTCCTACCGACGTACATTTTTTTTGGGTGGGAAGGGGAGTAGACGGTCAATGTCTTGTGTTGTCATTTCAGTGCAAAGTTAGAAGTGTGTCTCAGAGTAATTTCACTAATCATTATTTAGTAAGATTTCCCAGGAGTTGCTTTGCTGTTTTCCCCCATTACGATTCTTGGAAAGATGCTAGTGGTGGGGCCACGCACAAAAACTACATTATGATGGACGAACTTAGCCACAGAATATCCGAAAAAATCTTTGCCACACCAAGGCTAATTTAGGATTATTGTATTATACTGCATTGGTTCATTTTTGCCCATTGATATCTGTATAAAAAAACAGCAAACAATGCGAGAAAGCCTGTGGAGTCCAGTTCGGGAGAGTCAAGCCAAAGTCAATCGGGACTCGATAGCCAAGCAAATCTACTCCGAGCTATTCGATCGGCTGGTAGCCATGCTCAATGATCGATTATCCCCGCCGGACATGAGCGAGATCCACACGACCAAGGGTGGTGTGCACACTATTGCCCTTCTGGATATCTACGGATTTGAAGTAAGTGCAACCACCTGTTTTCGCCTTATAACAGAAAACGACAAGAGTAACGTATAGTAGGTTAGAGATGCAGGTCTAGTGAAATCGTGGCAAAGTTTCACGAGAACTTGTTTCAGTGTTTGTGAAAACACAGGTACATTAACCAGGGGGCGTTCGACGAGAAAAGACAACAGAAGTATACATAATCCAAATAAATACGGTTTCTCCCACACAAGGAAAAATTCCCAGCAATAAACCCATTCCAATGGAACAGATTTGTAGTACGAGGTTTTCCTGTTGTATAATTCCCGTGAGGAACTGAACTTTCTGACGCATACAGAGATAAACTTCTTCTGAGCAGTAGACACCACAATATTAATACGCTTGCAAACAAGTCAAGCTTTGTCATTAGATTATCGAGCTGAAAAATTACCGTGAGCAGAGACATCATACCAAGTCACAACAGCAGTGGGCTCCTCCAGACTTGAATTTACTTGACCATTGTTTTACAGACGGATAGGCTCCAAGACCTGTTTGTCTAACCATGGCACACGCGCAATGCAGATGCACAATATGTGAGCCAGAAACTGATTTGAAGAGACTTAATAAAATCCATATACATCAAGGTCCTAACAAGCAGAGTATTCTTCTGTTTTTTTTTGTTGCATGACAGACGCACCCTAAGCCTATACACTTGCCGTTCTCGTACTATATCGCATGAGTTACTGTTTGCATTGACCCATAAGACCAGAAGTGGCAGTATTTTACAAAATCAGTAAATTAGTGAATTACACATGCATAAGTTTTCGGAATGACAGCAGCGTCTACTGCACAGCTACAAGATTGCTTTTGAGGACTTGAGGACAACGGAACTCCACTGCTCTGTTGGTTGAGGAGAGAATCAAATGCGGTTTTCGTTGGTCGTTTTTTAATGAACAAACTTTCACATCATAGAGAAGTTTTTTCACTCAATTACCTGAACACTCACTAAGGGAAATTTCTCAGAATGGAAAAAAATTTATGAAATTCAGTCGAAACAGATGGATACAGTGTTATAAGCCTAAAACTAATTAATGCACTTATTGGTGTCTTTCTCCAATTTCCCATTGGTTTTGTGGGAACAAGCATTTTCGTTCGGAAAAGAAGGCACGTTACAAGAAATACACTCATGTGCAAATCAATTTGGTCTTTACGAGAGACTCAACTGAATCTCTCGTTTATGATATTCTACAACTGAATGTGCTGATTCTCTCGTGAAAACCAAATTGATTTTCAAATAGGTGTATTCCTCGAAAACAGTCCAATTTGGGTTCATGTAGAACTCAGGGTTGAGGGAAACTCGTTGACTGCGCCTACATGATGAGCCCCAAGAAGTACGAAACAGGTCGTGGGTTGTCGAAGAGTTTTCAGCAACCTTGTGAGTAATTTCCTTTATGAGAAGGCACGTTGTAGTTAGGTACGGCCGCGTTGGTGCCTACCCGTCATGCGGTTTGTCCTGAACTCCACAACCTAATGGACACAAGTGGTACGATGTTCAACCACTTGAGTAGCAGTAGATGGCAAATTCGTGAGTGAGCTAATCTCCATGAAAATTACGTTTACCGCCCCCCTGAATTACCGGTTACGGACCTTTCGGCATCCCAATTTTTTCCTTTCTTCACTTGGTTCTTTAAAGAAGCAATTCCTACACATTATTACAGTCACAAAAAAGAAGTGGCTAATTACTAACAGCTCTCTCATCTTGTAGAGGAAGTGTCTTTGAGGAGCGGTCAGGTGATTTTAACGTTTTTGTCATCCATGTAGTGAATTTTTCTCGCGGTTGGGAAGAATTATATAAGTCTTATGAGGAACTAGTGTGCTCTTCATAGAATGCAGAGCAAAACCCTCTCAGTGGTTTGCCAACCAGTGTTCAAAGTAAAAAACGACAAAGATGTATCAATTTTTCGATATTCCATGAAATTATCAATCTGTAGTGCACCTTGAAAGCTACTCGTTTGTACTTGGCGAGGATTCTGATTACAATGAGTGTTCTGAAAACCAAACAGTCTTTTACTTTATCGCAACTCCAAATATCCCTGCTTTCTACTTAGAATTGCCGATAAATCTGGGGAAGAGATTAAATCAAGGGCTTAGAGCACTTCAAATTCAGGATATTTCTGCGACAACATCGTTTACAATGATGATAACACTATAAGTAATTTCATACTGATTTGCGAATTCACAACCTCCTATTTGCGGTGCGCTCTTTTCTATTTTGCTGGCCGCAGAATCTGCCATACAACTCGCTGGAGCAGCTATGTATCAATTATACAAACGAAAATTTGCAAAAATTCTTCAACCACTACATTTTTGAATTGGAGCAACAAGAATACGTCAAAGAAGGAATCGATTGGCAATTTATCGCCTTCCCAGATAATCAGCCAATCATAAACCTGATATCAGGAAGGCCGAACGGCATTTTCCATATTTGCAACGACGAAGCCAGTTTGGCAGCGGTAAGTCTCACCAACTAGAGTCTTTTATCTTCTCAGAGGTATGCTATTTGTGTCCTATAATATGAACGTAAGTGGTTTAGTTTCTTTCAACAAAAGCACCTTGCGATTACATATCTACTTTTTTCTGCGGGGATGTCATATGTTTAGAGACTTTTAACTTTTATAGTGTTAACAGCGTAAGCTTAATTTGGTGCATAGTAAGGAGTTTTAAAGTCAAAACTTCTGTAGATCCGTGACTTGACGTAAAGAAATAAGAATGAATCATCCACCACCCTCTGTTTGGCACCTAACGGCATTTAGATGCTAGGCGTATCGTTCATTTAGCATCATCGAGGCAAAGGATCACCCTGAACACCACCGGACGGTCTTTTGGATTGATTATGTTAAGCGATAACAGTGAAAAGGAGTCTATATGGACTATAGTAATTTTAAAACTTCTTTCAAGTGCACTGCTACTCTTGTGTAAGGAGTAGCAGGCCTAAAAATGCAACTCGGAAACTCAAAATTGGAAGTGACACTGGGAATTGACAGCGTCTTGCTGCGACATGGGTATATCTTCTTCATTCAACAGCAAGGAGCTATGACAATAAAAGAGATATTTTAAGGATGAATGATTCCTAAGTGGGTATTGAAAAACCGTTTGATAAATTTAAGTTCAGATCATTCAGTAAGCGCGGAGAGATCAGATGCATAACCTTTTTGATAACATCCAAAATGCCTGTCTGTCAACCAGCTTGTGTAGTTTGCGTAAATTAAGGATGGCACCACGAGCGGCGGTTTATTGACACCCCTGAAAACCTGCGATTTGAAAAACAGAGATAGCATGGAGTGTTGCATCAGAGCGGCTAGATCGGTGTGGTAGTTTTACGGAATATGTCGTGACCACGTGCACATGCATGCGACTGAAAAATAACTAAAAATAACATCAAACTAACGTTGAAATTCTCGCGTTAGTTTCGCTTATAGGCCATGATGCCCCCGGCCAAAAGTTAAACGGTCAAACAAAGTGGTAATACTGTCCTCCTAATCTCAGTGGATAGGTAGGATCCGACCAACTGATTATCGACACAGATTGCTCGTTTGTCCTCAGAAATTTGCCATATTCATACATCACGGATTCAGGGAAAACTCTCTAATATATCTCCTTACTGAATCAGGGTACGGACAGATCTTTCCTTCAACGCTGTCAACGGGAACACCGTGACCATCCGAACTTTTCGGTGCCGAAATTGAGTTCCGATGACAGTTTTGCGGTTGTACACTTTGCAGGAGAAATAACCTACAAAGTAAGTCGGAAAAAAATATACATACTCAAATTCTGGTCTTCTCATTTCCTTGGTTCGGTGTTCTTTCGACGTCCCATGTCAATTCGCTCTTAGGATTTTCAAAAATGTGCATGGATTTCCTCTGCAAAATCTGTCGCTGTTTGATGTCACCAGTAAACTACTATATCACTCTCAGCGCGAAAGGCCTGTGTATCTCAGTTATATATATTTCCACCCCTAACTATAATTTTAGGTTTAAGTGATCTAGGTAAAGTTAGTCGCATGTAGGATGAATGGTAACAATGAAAGTGACGCAACCAGGATGTTTAGCTTCCCTCACGGATTTCCGACAGTTTTTCATCTGTCAGGGTAAACCGCCAGCGCACCCTCCTCAACTATTTTCTGATCACCTGAGGGGATAGAGTATGACTACCTCAACACAGGACAATTGAGATTCTGCTAGCTAGCGTTTTAGTCCATATTCTATTGCGTCAAATATGAGGCCCAATATTATGCAACACAGCCCCTCACCCGCATAACAGCTTGCTAGAACATTTTTGATGGAACAACAATGCTAAAACGTGTCTCTTTGGCTCATCCCAGTATATAGACTGGCGACATTTGTAAAATTCCGGTAGTGCTCCGGCAGTCGTATGTGTAGTGGTATATCATCAGCCGACCAATGTAACAATCAAAGATATTCGGTGAATGATCTCATTGGGATGCGATCCAAGTGAAATCAGACTGTCATCTATTTTCTTCCGTTCGAAGAGATCTGTTGTTCTTGCTCCTTAGCACTTAGTGGTCCGACCTGGGCTTCAGAACGACAGCCACGATAACAAGAAGATCTCAGTTCTTTGCCGACCAATGTAACAATCAAAGATATTCGGTGAATGATCTCATTGGGATGCGATCCAAGTGAAATCAGACTGTCATCTATTTTCTTCCGTTCGAAGAGATGCTGTTGTTCTTTTGTTTAGATCACGGGTTTCGTGGATAAGAACCGAGAGCAGATGAGAAGCGAAGTGTTGAATCTTCTCATTGAAAGCACGGAGCCAGTGGTGGCCAGCATGTTTCAGAATGTCTACTCGCGTCGGAGCAACCTGTCAGTGCCTGGACCTCGTCTGAAAACACCCATGGTATTGGCTACCTTCAACACATCTTTACAAAACTTGATGGAAAAAATGAAAGAGTAAGTGGGATTCTAACATGTGTGATAATCGTAATCTGCATTAACGTTTTTGATAACAACATAAATATACAGCCGGTTCTCTGCAGTTTTCATCCGAGTAAGAGTGGAAAGCAAAACAGTATAACGGACAAGTCATGAGTCAGAGCCATCCGTATTCAGTGACAAACATACAAATTTTTGAACCGTACGTTCACTGAGACTTGAGTGTACACTTCACACCTTCCAAGCCAAGCCCAAGTTTTTCATAGATGAGTAGTGGAATAAAACCAGAGTCTTACAAACACAACAGAACCCTTTGGATTAGGATAGAGTTTTATCTGGAACTACATTCTCTCTACACTGAATAGGCTAACCTTGGATAGAGGGGTTTGTTATTTAGACAGTAGTGCCTATAGGTGTCTTACAAGAGATAATATGAATCAGATTAAGAAAAAACGTTCGCATATTAAGGTGTAAAAGCTACGTCACTTCAAAACGGGGGCGAACCCAAGTATGCCCCACTTTGTTGTGGCCTTCCAGTGTAGGCAGCCATTTGGGATACTACTTAAACTACCACGTGGAAGCTTGAGATAGCTCAGTGGTTAAGGCTGAAGTGTAGGCCCTTAGGGTGAACTCAACCCCGGAATCTCGCTTATTCCTGTCAAGGATTTGGCGACCCAGCAGTATCTCAACCTGCGTGCTCACGTCGAGTGGCATCGCAGTTAGGCGTCGAAAGGGGTGTTGCAGCTGAATGATATTATTGTTATTGATTTACTAAGTTGTACGTCATTTTCCACTGAGAAATTCCAACAAGGAATCTACTGGAAAAATTTACAGACAACAACCGCAATGGTTTAATAAACTTGTACGCTTCGATAACTGAGTTCTTCTGTCAGTATGGTGAAAACGTACAGAGCTATTACAACTAGTATCAAATAGTAAACCCAAAGTTTGCATAGTTTCTATTGCCGTAGATCTACGTACGTTTGATGACACAACACACACGTGGCTGCAAGTGGCAATTTTTGACTACATGACTGTGCAATAAATCCAAGGGCCTTAAGTGAACAAAAGGGTTGAAGAAATTCAGCGTCAGATATGCTCGATCAGTAGGCTTTATTGTTAAACTAAAAACACAAGCCTCGTTGCCGCTTGCAGTTGGGGACCCTTTTGAAATCGTCTCTCGTTGAGAGTGTTTATATAGGCCGGTCCCCTAGAGAATTTTGCTCGGTCTGCAGCGAGTGAAAGAAAGCGATAATTAGCCTTTAATCAATAATTGTGCGTCCAAATCAATCCCATTTTAGATCCAATTAATGACTGTACTTCCTAACCGGCGTGGCCGGTCCCCTGACCAGCGGTGCTGTTATATGCACTCACGAAAACCGCCGCCTTAGATTATGGTAATCACCTAGCATCAAGTGATAATTTCTGGAATAATGTAGGTTTGTTAGATCACAAAACTTTGAAAGCATTTGATTTTGCTGCCTGGAAGCACTCTCGTATGGAGAGTGCACAAATTACCTGTCTAGAAACGCATACTCCCATACATATACGTAATCTAAAACGCCTAAAGCGCAAACTTACTGCAGTACATAAGACAGTCCTCGGAGATGAACCCAATTAAATAAAATTTGTGTAAGATTGGCTACACAATGTGTGAATTACCAAGCAGCGGGACATATCCTGGATGTAACTATGCTAGCCGTTCATGTTCTCTCCTCAAGAGCTAGTTCATCGAACCTCCATTTCAATTTTCAGTCAGATAAACAAAGTTGTTTCCTACGCCCTAGGTGTCAGCCACAATTCGTCCGCTGCATCAAACCCAACATGGAGAAAAAACCGATGACGCTCGAAGACGCTATCGTCTTCGACCAGCTACGGTATACAGGGGTGCTGGAGGCCACCCGCATTCGAAAGTCTGGGTTCCCAGTTCGCCCAAATTACAACGCATTTATACAGAAGTGAGTTACTGAAAGCTCATCGTTATCTCACTCTAAATGTGAAGAGAATTTCTGTGCGTTTAATCCCCAAGGAGTTTTCCTTGACATATCACACAGTATAAGCCTTTAATATATTGGTTTCTCACTGCCTCCAGAGTATTGCAAAAGCTTATCTCGTAAGTGAGACAAAGTAAGTTCGATTTGTATTCTGAACAGAGTCAATTTGCAAGTAAAGTAAGGTATCTGAGACGAACGGAACATTGACTTTGAGTACAGAATCCTTGTGAAGTCAGTGTCGGAAATTTTCCGTTCAAATGGTTCTTAAGCAAAACGCAGTTCGTAATTTAGGTATTTACATGGCATATTCTCCAGAAATATACATAGTTCACATATCCACAACCCTTTCAACACTGTGTTTTGCCACAATAACATAGTGAGATCCAGGTGAACGGAGTTAAACAAACCAAAATCGGTAGACGCGTAGCGAACAATTAACCACCTCAGACTTGGGGCGTTTATGGGAGTAACGTTCCTCAGTCGGACAAGAGTAAAAATGCACTTTTGGGTGTGGCATGCGTCCTGCCCTGTACAGAATGAAAAAGATTGTGGCTACGCAAAGTCATGTGTTTTTTCTGGGAAGGTCAATCGTGTGTAAAACTCTCCTGGACTCGTGAGGCATGGGCGCCATGACTCAGAAGGTGTTACGATTGAACGACCACGAAAGGCCTACGCTAAATTACATCGCAAGCTGGAATTTCGATGATTTTGTTAATGGAGTGCATGTTTGTACAGTTCATCTCATTTGGGTTTATGTTTCGAGAAGCACGCTTTAATATTAGGCGTAGAACTAGAAGATGGTTTTGTCGCGAGTATATTCGCATTTGAGAAAGTCTACTGATTTGTGTGACCGAACACCAGGCGCATCAGAGGCACACTTCTATGACAACATTTTCAGACACACATGGATGAGATTTGGCTAACATGGATTGTTTACCTGTAGCTGTTCTGGTGTTCCTTGGCTATAAAAGCCATGACCGGGCTTCAAATATTGGCATCGGTCAGGTAAGGCGACGCTGGGTACAGTCAAAAAGGATTTATATTGATTGTTAAGTACTTAGAGTCTGAGGTACATACTGGAGGTCTGAAACTAAGAATGACTCGGGCAGAAATAGGACATCACGTATAAATGCTCTTCAGCGTGCGATCTTAGGCTGGTAACAGGAATATTAATACCGAGGCATAGAGTTATATAAGCTGCAGAAGGGCAGCGACGAATCTACACGAATGAGTGAAAAAAATTTTCAGAATTTTTAGTGTCAGGTTTTCAAAGTGTTATATCAAATGAGTGTTGAGCATTGACAGTGCCTTTCGGAATGGATTCTGACCAAGATCACAGTGCAAAGATATGCACCAACATTCCGCTATATCATGGGACCGAAATGAGAGATAACAGCCCTTCATCATCATGTGAATGTGAAAACCTTTTTCGCAGTCAGAGAGATCGACAAACCACGAGAAAATAGTGCGTGATAAAGGATACAACCAGATAAAGCTCCCATTCGCTGGGTTTTGATGAAGGTGGTTTTTTTGTCGTAGAGGGACATTTCGCGGTCGTTTGGAACAACTCTGCCGTTTTCTCATGATTTTCTTAGAATTCCAGTCCTATTTACAGTGAGCGATAAAATGTCCTGGTACATGGGTGAAATCGTCGTTCACGGTGGATGGAAGGCGACACTTCAGAATATTCACTAAGATACTCACTTGGGTATACGCTGAACCATCTGCAGTCAAAACATGCTCTCGGGATGAAATTTTAACGATGAACTTCACTAAGGATGTTTATTCCACGTGGTCACGAAGATTACCAAAGTATTCTGACAATGTAAACTAAGCCAAGGGAAATACGTGATACCTAAGCCCGCAAACCTGACAAAATGGATTACCTCATTCTTTCATCTTTGGGAGACCTCAGTGTTCCTCATATGTTGTTAATGAGTGATTTCTATGTGGTGATCCTGATATCATCCAACTCGTGAACTAACCGGATAAAGGCCAATCAATGCTTTCCAACCAAAGTAAGCAATTCATCCCCGAACACACTGTGATGATCGCATAATTAATTGCGATTTGTTTAGCTGATCTGAGAGCAGTGAATTCTAATGACTCAGATCCGCAAGAGATGGTGCATCTGACACAGAAACTGGCAGTCTACGCGGATAATTGCCTTGTTATGGACGAGCAGCAGCCATTTGACGACCAGAGAGACCACAAGTCTTATCGACCCAGTGTCGTGTCTGCATTCAACACACACACAGACCTTGCACTCCTCTTGGTACTTAACTATACACCCTATTGAAAAATTTCTGCTGTTTAGCTGTAGTGATAGAAGGCACAAAACAGTGCACCCTCCGGCTTCTGAAGTGTGCCGTTTCCACATAAATATCGCACACTCTTACAGATTTAGTCCTACTGGTTTCAATTTCTAGTCAAGTTTTCCGCACCTTGCTCGACAGATTTCTGGAACCGGTGAGCTGTCCCCCAAGGTATATACCACTCAGTTGCAGCAAATACTGGCTTACTCATTGCTAACGTTTAATTCAAATGTCTCGAACTTTTCGTCATTTCAGTTATGGCTTTCTACTTCCGAAAACAGAGCATCAGTACTTACGAAAATTGAGTAATCCCATGGAAGCAACTCGCTACCTAATGAATCGTCTGAACTTGGGTATTGGAATTAACGGAGCTCCCACGAAAGGAATCGACTTCGAGCTAGGAAGAACCAAACTGTTTATGCGTAACCAATTGGCTGCGAACCTTGATGCCGTGGTTTCACTAGTTCAGGCCCGATCCGCTCGGATAATTCAAAACGCGTGGCGTCGTCGAGGAGACGGGTTGTATGAACGAGCACGAGAAAATGCTTGCAAAGTTATTCAGGCTTACTACCGGGGCTATCGTGCCAGGTAAGAATTTTCCTACAAATATAAAAAAAATCCAAACAAACGTTTTGCTCTATCCGTATGGAGGGCATTTTTCATTGATATGGGATGTTTCTCCACACAAAGTAACGCCCATACTAGACACAAACCCTTAAAAAACATTTTCAGGGTCTTTGAACACATTTCCCCCTCGAAACAGGGAACTCTACAGTATAAACTCTCAGCCATTACTTGAGTTGTTCGGCACTCTCAAATGAACTGGATTGAAATTTCGTTACAATAACTACATTGCTTGTATCTTTCGAATGGCTTGATGTGATTCAATTTATGGAAATAGCGGACCAGGCCGCATGCATTTGTTTTTGGATCTTGTGAACGAGTTGAAAACTTAGAAAAAAGAAATTTATTTATCGAGTTTTCGTTGATAAGCGACGATTTTGCACTAATTGGCTTTTAATCGTGCAAAATAAAAATGGTTGTCTACGATTACTTAGTCGGAGATTACTGGTATAAATGGGCCTCATAAACTTCTATCGTTTACTGTTTTAAGAGCATGGTCATAGATATAAAAAGTAAATGTGGGCGATGCATGTGGAACGATTAGAGGAGAATATTAGATTAAAAAAAGAGCAGCGTCCCAGCGAAATACACTCATTTGCAAAAAAATTGTTTTGCGAGCGAATCACCTGGAACCCAGCTGAATCTTTCGTTTGTGGTCTTTCCAGGCAACTGAATGCACTGCATTAGGCCGCCTCATGTTTCAGTTGCTACGATATTCAAGATATCACGAGGCATGTACATACGTAATGAGCCACTCATAAGTTTGCTGAAAATTCTTAGCCCACGACAGGTTTCGCCCTTCCTGGGTCTCATCAGATAGGCGCAAAGGAGAGATTCAGCCGGGTTCAAGGTGGGTCTCTTGCGTAACCAAATTTGCTTGCAACTGTGTGCATTTCGCTGATTTTGTGCAATTTGGTTTCAAGTAGAACATAAAATTGACGGAAACTCTAGAGCTGCGTCTACCTGATGTGCCTCAAGTAAGGCAAAACCGGTTGTGGATGACGAGGAATTTTCAACAACACAAGCGTTTCATTCGAAGTCATGCGTGCTCCTGCTATCTGACAGACCAAACTAGCTAGCCAACCGTACGTAACTCCGGTGCGTTTTGAAAGTGGCACAGACCCTTTGGTGATCCCTTACATACACTGCTGGAATAAGATGGTCAGTTTTGCTTGCCTGATTTGGCAACTATAGACCACCATTTATCCTTTAGATGTCCCTCCTGTTCGTTTGCCTGAGTTATTCGGTTCGGTGTGCACCGGATGTGGAACATTCAGTTGGATGCATAGTTGGTAGTTCTTCCTATCGCTCATCAGCGTAGTACGGCTTGACGAACGAACCTGGAAGCGCATGTCAGCCAACTCAATTAATAACATGTTGTTTACATAACAGGTACCCTCATTCAAAGTGATGGCCCACCACACATTCATAGGATCTGTAGGAACACGAAAAATAACACTCTGTAGCCACTTGATGATCTGAAGCGTTTTTCCTGTTCCTATCTTATTCATTGATGCCCACATGACATGGAAACTTGTCTCTGGGGGCTAATATAGCATCAGTATACCTTTCGATGCACATGTTGCACTGGTAGCAAATGCTAGCACTGGTGAGTAACCAGAGAGTCTAAGCACGTAACCTAAATAGATTTATCGATTGGGCTGTGAATAAGCACTTCTTGTATTTCGGTTGAAAGATTTATGACCGACTGTGTCGTTGATTTGAGTCGGCCAAGATACGTTTAGGTTAGTTGGCTGATGTGGAAAACTCACTTTCGCCCTACCGTCATGTTATTTATCCTGTGCGATGAGGAGCGATTAAAATCCCCTAGTCTTTCCGATGACATCACATTACTTGAAGTAGTTGTACCAGATGCTGAGGATGCTTTTTATTCACTGATGGAAGTGAAACATAAGTCAGTTGTCTAACATAAATTGTCTGATTCACATACTTTCGCTTTCATATCACGATTCTCATATACTCCATTCGTATGGGATTCATCATACGTTTCTCGACAGAATCACATGGGCGTTGGTCTTTACCGATTCTTTGTTTCGTCGACAGAAATGTGATTGTTTGATAGCCAGATGACTGGAATGTATTCTACTTTCATCAGTTTCTAGTCAAGCAACCAAGCAAAATGTATTTCGCTACATTCGACATTGATTGGAATGAAGTTTGGTTCGTATTACCAGCCTCAAAGCTAGATTCTAAACTTGTATCATGAGATTACAAGAGCTGAATCGTAACATATCCAGTACGATCAAACGTTAGGCTGCTGGTAAGAAAGTGAATCGTGAATGCAAGACACAAAAGGGATCAAATTATCCTAATTGATGGCGGGAAATTTTTCGTAAACTTTTTGTGAAGTGGGTTGAGTAGGTTCATTGTTCGGCTTGGTGGTTGGGGGTCATATGAACAAAGCCTCGGTGAAGGGTGATAAATTTAAGGAATGCTTTTCGATATCACATTACGTTTGGGCTTAAAATCATCAATTTATTATGGGGGCAGTAGAATTAGACGCTGTAATCATTGCGCATGTTTGTCCCTTCTCTTAGGTATGAAAACGGTCTTCTTGATGAAATGGTATTTCGCTCAACAAAAAAGAACAAGCTAATGCAATTGAAAAATTTCCCTAACATCCATGACTTTTTTGCGTTTTCCTTTTACGTCTCAGACGCCAGAACCCCGCGGTGTTCAATTACGTCAGCAATCGAGTTGTAAGTCATTTCTGAGTGGAATGTATTAAACAGGTCACTTATGCTAAGAGAACCCAACTTCCTGTAGTGCGCTGAGCACTTTTCTGCTCCAAACACCCTTCTGAAAGACTTGTTTTTCTCAGCAGAAAATATTCATTTCTTGATCATTGAATATGTGCGTGTTTTCGTCAATTCACTTGACCAGGTTATAATTTTGACGATAATGACAGTGAGAGAACTCTTCACTGGAAAAACGTTCCGGTTTTGTGGTAGAAAACTTGTATTTAGGGAACGGTAGCCGAAAGTCGATGGAGACGTTCGTAAACGTGCGAGATATGCAACGGTTGAGTTAAGCTTGTGCTATTTCAAAGGCATTAGAAAGTAGTCATGTTGAAAATCTTACAAAATTTTGGAAATTCAAATTAGGTGGTATTTATTTGCTCATTTAAATTTTCTGATACTTTACGGAATATTGCTCTAGGACAAAGTTAAATGGCGAGCAATCCAAAAATGTGATGTACGAACACGAAGTTGAAAAATCACCTTCACAATTTCTGCCGCAGCACCTGAATAAAAGGCCTCATATTCAGACAGGTCTTCTGTAAAAGAAATTTCCAAGCGTCATCACTCCAGCAATTTTTATTTAAATGTGGACCATATCCCAGTCTTTGTACATTTCAGGTATTTTAGACAAAGATGCTGTACAATCCGAATTATAATCATTGCCACTAGGCATTAATTTTCGGTTTATTTCTGACCATTCAGTGGAACCCCTTTGCTGTGTGATCGAGACCAACGTCTAACATGTACAAAATTGCTATTTCTTCTCTTTCACATCTGTTTCGATCCACATCTTCAATCCCTCTTTCTCTAGAGCCATCTCTCAAAGGAGTTTGGCGAAGGTTATCTTTTGGCCTCAACCGATTAGCATACGAATAAAAGTTATTTAAAAAAACTGGTGTGAGATGATACTCTTTTATTAGCAGGTCGATTCTAAACCCAATGCAGTCAACAGATATGGTTCCATGATAGTCGTTAATCAATCTGATACTATGGCTGCGATGGCATTATATATCCGCCCTTTAATGGTAAATCCTTTTTTGGTGTTGCACGAAAAAAGAACTGGTATATTTTTTCTACAGAGAACGTTTCGCAATAACCGGTCAGTTATAAGTCGCATGTGAAAAGTGAAAACTTGCACGTAATACAACCAAACCTCTTCAGTTTGACTACTGTTGTCTAGGTTTGGGCAACCTGGCAACATGTACCATGAAGCTGACACGGGTAAATCTTGCAGAGCGCTCCTCAACGCCGCTCTCCTTCCCAATTAGGTTTGACAATGAATATCGGGAACGACAAACCATGTTTTTGTGAGTGCAAAGGCGTGCAGTCTACCTAATTAGGTAAAATTCCGTTGACTTAAGCCCTCCCGGTAATCATAAGAAACCGAATGGATCGCCAAAACAAACGCTGATAGTGCTCTGAAAGCCGGGTACCCATTTATGTACATCGCCACCTGAGTGAAACCAAGTATGACGGCTTCAGTTTCTGTGCATGTTTTGCACGTCTCATGGATTTCTTCGTAGCTGCTACTTAAAGTGGTCACCTAACGACCGTTTTGATAAAAAAAGTGTCACCCTCAAACGCCTCATTTTTAACGGAAGCGTAGCTATTCTGGAAGACCGAAAGTCCTACACAGTGATTCAAGTGCTTATTGAAAGAAAATGTATGTCTGCAGTCGGTGGAGATTTCGGATTTTACTCACAGATTTTTTTTCATTTTTGATAAATAGGGCCAACTTCTTTCACCTCGCCCTCAGTGCATTCACAGAATGCTTTGAATTTCGGATTCATATGATGAGGTTGATGTTTAAAGGTTACCCAGTGAGTAGCTAAATCGCCACAAACTTCAACCTTTAAAGTGGGGGCAATGTTCTGATGCCGTGTAACCATAAAGCATTTCCCAGCTATTGCACAGGTGCTTCTGTATGCCATGGAAGTAGGTTTTGTTCAGAAAACAAACTTGTAAATTTCAGCTCCAATTCTTCCTTCTTGTTCAACCCCAAATACCCTATGTTGTAATGTAAAATGATCATCGAAGCATCGCACACAAACCAATCGTACCGGTAGAGTGTATTCATATATTTGCCGCGGAAATATTACCCCATGTCCTTTCAATACAAACCGTATTTTCGCACTGCTGATCTCTCCATAAAATTTGCGATAAATGAATGTATTGCTGAGAGGTAATATCGAAAATTTCCATAGTACGTGGATGTGACACACTGCAGTCTTCCGATTTTGGATAGTAGTTCACACTTCGGTAGTGTGAAGAACATTTTGAGCTTATATACTGCCTTATACCAAAAGTTGTGTCACTCATTCCCATTGCGTAGTTGCTGATGCAAATCTTTAAGAGACCTGTGTGTTTTTGGATGGAATGTTTGGAATGTAAAGTGACCTCATCACTACTAACCGCACACTGATGATGTCATCTTGATTTTTGACGAAACATTTGCAAGCTAACTGTGAAGTTTGGCGAACAGATCAACGGGCATTTGATCAAACACCAATGGACGCACTGCAGCTTTCAATATTCCAGTACACCACTATTAGGCGCATGACATCTTCCCTTGTTTAACTTGTCACTTTTTACGAGTACGTATTGCATGATCCAATATATGTGAATTAGTTACACAAACCACGGTGTCACAGACTTCAATCTGATATGGCTTCCGCAACTTTCATTGTGACGAAATAACAGGTTCTTTGCCTCACATTCGCTTGCCCTATCCACATAATCTCCCTTTGGACTATTAGAGAAGTCACCACGAATCTTACTCCCGTGCGTGCTTAGACGGAAAACAACAGTTGTTTGCGGGTTCGTGGCATATATTTTCCCATTGGAATTTGAGAAGGCATATGCCGTGACCTAAAATTGATCATTTCTGTAACTTCCAAGCATCTAGAATCCCAAAAGACTGCAGCAGGGTGGCAAACACACTGGATTATGCTTCGATATCCTTGAATACCCCAGTGAGTGTCACGGTCCCCTAGCGACCACGGAATCCCTACTGCCACCCGCATGAAATTCTAGGACGTTCACACGAAGAAACATCGTTTTAGATCATCTTAGGAATCTTAGGATATAAACGCCCTTTTCGAAGACTAACCAAATTAAACAGACACTTGTCCTTGTTCGCATAGTGCGGCCAATTTGCCGAACGGGGGTAATCATACTGTGGGCAACCCTTCTTATAAAGTAGTCCAAAGCCACTCTGCTTCAGGTCTCCGAATTAAGTTATTAGAACATTTAAGGTCTGTATTGGTGTATTGACCCAAGATGACGAATAAATCCACAATAAAAATATCAAGAATATGCTACTGATAATTAATAATCATGGAGTTGAACTCATATTGTCCGTCAAAAATATTCCGAATTTTCTATGTTCTGAGGTGTACGTGAATGACTTCCTGTTCATATTCTATTCTTACTGCCAATGCATTTTTCACGTATTTTTCGGAATAGTTTTCCAATGCATCAAGTCAAAATAAGAGCCAATTATTTCAGAATTATCCGCAGTTTGGATGGAGAACGTTGAATTAAACCGCGTTTTTCACCTTAAGAAGTCTTTAAAAATTCATTGATATTTGCGTAATTCAGGAGGATTTGGAAACAAGCGAACCACCCAAGCCATTGAATGACCTTGAAATTGCTCGACTGGATCTCCCAGGTGACTTGGTATATATTCTCGAAGAAAGAGGCGATGGTGAGTCTTGATTAAAACATTTTGCCGTGTAAAACATATTTCTTTGCGGACATTTGCAAGTATGAGGCCTGATAGCTCTCATTCCAAATTTTCGCTCCAATAGTGTTTGACATCCGTAATTTTTTGGCTTAGATCAATCGCGCTGGCTTCATCGTCACCGAGTATCAAAACCCAGAGCAAGCGTGAGGCGACTGCTTCAAGGTCAGCAGGTGGACGGATGGCAGTCTTATGGAAGGCCTGTTTGGGATGCGCAGCCATTGTCATTTATACTAAGAGGAGGAAAGTCGAAGGTGAGCGAAAAGTTCCACCGGTATAAGTAACACGAAAGAAAAGAAAACATTGTTGTGGAAAACATTTGGTCCAAATCCGTTAGCTTATTAGCTGCTGTATGCCTTGTCTATAGGATGGAGATGAGTTAATGCAACGGTCTCCGTTTGGAGGTAAGAATCTCTCACTCGTTTGTGGATAAACTTGATAAGAGCGAGTTACGAACGTTGTGTGATATATGCTATTACTACACATTTGTTTGCAGTTTTCTGTGTATCCAGACCGCAAACCACTTGCTCTTACACCACTACGAAGCCTCACAAAGCGATCGGGTCGTGATGCGTCTTAGTGAAACGAGTGTTGCATCTTCATGCCTGATTCGGAGTCGCATAAACCTACAATTTGTAATGTTAGTGCTATTCGCCTTCCAGGATAGGGGCTACACGACCTCCCTGTGTTTGATTTGAGACGCTGAATGATGTGAAGGCTGGTCGTTTTCATTGGCTTTCATGCTGCGTGGTTCAATTTAATCTTGTGACTGAATGTTAAAGGTATAGGCATCAACTATCTTCGTGGTAGGCTAGGCATACCTTTTCTTCCGTAGTCATTTTTCCTCTTTTCACTATAAGGCTTTCTTCAAACGAATTAACATGATTGTACGGCATTGGAAAAATAGTGCCATCCTTTGTTGTTGCTGTCAGCAATAATAATAATGGTGAAGAAAGCATTGACTCGACTTCATTTCTGCGGTCTTGTCCAGATAAATTCCATGGGTAGGTTGCAACATTCTTGTTATCAGTGGAGTAAAATAGACGGTGAAGTCACAGAATGTAACAAATTTGCGGCACTGGCCATAAAAGATGTGGTCCAAAACTGAGACATGTTCTTCATAAAGACCCACCTAATTTATAAAATCAGTCGTGTGTTTTGTGACCGATATTTTGTCACAAGCACGGATCCAAATGTGGCGTAAGAAATCAAGTGTGCTAGCATGACAACGTGTTTCAAACATCATAATGCTTCATGTTGAAAGTGGGTTCAAATTTTCGACACATGTTCTCTTTCTACCCAGCTTTCCTGTTTGAGCCTTTCATAAATACCTAAATAACACGATATTCTCGGTGAAAAATTTCATTGTCGGTAGCGAGACTCAATTTGGTCCTGCACAACTTGCATACATCACGTTGTGGCTTGATGACATCATCATCAAGAGCGCATCGGTTATGGACAGCAGTTAAAAGACTGTTGAAGACTCTGAATTCAAGATAATTTATTGAATAACGATGTGAGAAACTGGCAGAGTTATCGGCTTTTTCAAAAATCTATCCAATTTTACCATGAAAATTTCAGGTTGTTTATTGAGATCAAAAGCCGAATTGTAACAAAACCGAAATTGAGAATCAGACTGATAAGAAGTGGCACAAAAATCACTGGCCCATTGTAGTTTTTTAGGCTGGTTTCTTCTCCCAACCCAAAGCAGAAATACCGATGGTAGGCCAAAATTGCGTTTCCAGAAAGCTTATGAGCACCATTATCTCAAGAAAACCATTTCTATGATTTTTTAGGACAAAGCATCTTCTGAAGTGTCCACAACTTGGATGGATTTTTTTAAACTGTTATCGACTTAACACCAAAAGAGTGCATAGTATTTTTGTTCCCTTATAAATCTATATACAAGCCAATAATTATGCCCACTAGCTGATATAATCATCTGTTTTCAGACAAATATCGGCTACACACTGGCTCCTCTACAAAGGCCGCTTCTGCTAGCGCATGCAACAGAACCTCAAAGAGCTGCCTGTGTTGCTGCGTCCAAACTGGTAAGTTAATTAGCAATCGTTGTTGTTTAGCCGCTGACCACCGTGCATTCTAACAGCCGTTGGGGGCACACGAGGGATATTGGTCGCCTGAATGAAAGACATTGCACGTGACTTATGAGTAACTGCTCTCGTCTATCGACAAAACGTGTAACCAAATTTTGGTTGGTCAAATAACCTCTGGATCATACCTCCTGGACATCACGTGGTCAAAGTCGAAGTGGCTTACTCGGTTTCAGTCTGACCCTTCTATACGAAGCTACATTGATAGTTTCATCTACAGGGCCAATTTAAGTTGTCTTTGCTGGGATTCCACGTTCAGATAAATGTCCGAAATGCACTTGCGAGGACATGTTCATTGACCGCATCTCAGCAGAGTTCGCTTTACGGAGATGTTCAAGATCACTGCTGCTGATAGGAAGCTGTTCTGTTTTTTAAGAAACAAGCGTTAGTAATCATTATGGACACATTTTAGAGGCGGGCTCCAGGCGGATTTTCCAGCATACATAATTTTTGGCGTCGTAATCCGGCAAATGCTTTTTGCGCCAGATATTCTCGATTAACTTTGGTGCCGTTATATCTTGTGAATGGGGTTTATCGTTTTCCAGTTTATCTTCTTATGCAGGATCCGACCACTACCCAGTTTAATCCAAACACAGGTAAAATATGGTTAACCTGGTAGAGAAACTCTGTTTCATTACGTCATAAAATGAGAATACGCAAACTTGCCTGAGTTGCCGGGTGTTTCCGTAGTAGAGGAATTGTATATCATGTAGTGACTTCTACGGATATACTAGAAACTTGTGGAATCCATTTTATAAAGCTAACACTTCCGTCAGAAAAGTCACCGGAGTGGAAGAAACGTCAATCATTCACTCAGAACAGCGGTAACCAGCTGGTTTAACCACAAGTCAAGTGCAATGATAGGACGGCCACAAGAGCGACAAGAATGGCTCTTCCAAATTTTGTGTAGCCCTTTTCCCTGCGACTGCATCCATGGGTAGCTAGCCTGTTCTTCAACCGTCATGTAAATCGGATATCTGAAATCCCACTACCTGCACCCACGATATAAGTTACCGATCGTGAATGACACGGTCACTTCACGATCCCGGTCAAATAGTCCTGAGTCAAAAGCATTTCTTCCACCAATTTGTCACCTCGCTCAACTTTCGAATGTTCTTAACAAACACAGACTTCTCGTCTATTCCTCTCACTGGACCTCTCCTTTATAAACTGTCTGAAAAAGCTCAAAATAGCTCGGTCTCAGCATGTCGGTTCGCACTGTCTTTAGTTTAGCACAAAGGCCTGAAAATGACTGAGTAAGCACCACAACCAAGTGCGCTGGTACTTAGAATGAGTTACTCTGCAAACACCTGTAAACCGATATCATAATGTGCGAAAGTTTATCTTGCCACGTGGGTTAACCTTACCGGGTGGGTCGAAGGTGCAGTGTGGCAACATTTGGAATGCTTTGCTTCGAACTAATCTAGCTGATTCACCAATTAATGTTTACCATGTGAAACACGTGAATTCCGAGGTTTGCCCTTATGTCTGTTCGCTAAATTTAAACCCAGTGTTTGGCGTTTGCTCTGTTACTGCTAAACGGATCATAATTTTAATGGGTTAATATGTTCTGTAACCAATGGCAACTTAACTGCACACTATTTGCATGTATCAGACATTCTCTTGCGGAAGGTTTCCATTTTGTAGGGGAAACAATAAGTCAAAACATGGGAGATTTGGAACCAACTGGCCATCTTTTCAGAAGGGTTCGGCGCGCAATCGAAGGGTATATTGCTAGTCTGCGTTTTGCTCTGAAGACGAAAATCTTCAGGCCAGGTTATCAGATTGGCCGAGTTTTAAAACAGGCTGAAAACCAATGAGCAATTTCTCTTCCGACCAGAGCACTACAGCAATGATGAATCTCAATTAGGGGTTATTGTCAGTTAGTGTGGGTGCCTACTCATTACGGCTGATGGGTTGAAGGGAGAAGTTCAGTAACAGTGAATATTCATCTGTGTGACCCTGCGGCGTGCTTACTTTTCTGTTCTCATCGATTCTGTTGTAACGTTCCCTGGTCGCCTGCCCTATGGAGATCTTGGTGCATTAGCTGAGTTTGATTACGTAGTCAGCCACTGGAGTGGGACCCCTTCAATTGCAACAGTGCGGGGCGCTGAGGGTTTTTCTTCTGGAACGCTGCGTTTAGCCGTGTTTAGGATCTTTCAGATAAATGGAGTCCCAGATCTTTATGAATTAACAATAATTCAAATCCATTTGCTGTTGGCTTTCAACACATCTACCAATACCTTTTTAGTCTACTGTCAAGAGGTCCTTTATTTTACTTCGAATCGGTTTCCTGTCTGACCCTCGTATCCTGCATATATGACCCTCATTCGGCTGAGTTTTACGAAGCAATTCTAGCGAATACTGATCTGATATCCGCAGATCACCAATCTAAAATCTCCCCAGTATCATCTGGGTTCTGATATTTTGTTGTTTGCAGTTTCGCACCGACCCAATGAGCCATGCATTCCAAAAAGGATAGTGTGTCAGAATTTGACTTTCTCTCACACTAAATTTGAATTGGAGATCCCGGAAGCCATTCACACGACTGTGAAATTTACTCACTTCCTCCCTTTTAGTCACAACAAAGGTGGCACCTATATACAGTCAGAGTATTCCTCGTGGATATGCGACTCTGGGTAATGTTTTCTGCTTGATTTCCCCTCAAGGGTGTGCCAAACCTGAGATATGTTGGAGATCCCACTGCTAGGACTTGAATGTCGTGAGAACCAACCTTTCTTTGGCCTTCCATTCTTTTGTCTGTGGTCATTCTTGTTCGCTTTGAAGGTGTGGTGTTTGGCGATAGCCATTACCACTGTTTTTCTTCCCGCACATTCGTAGAGAGTTGACGTCAAAACTCACAAGAATGTCACCTGGTGCGAATTTGTTGGCAGAGTCGTGCATGAATTCTTATAATAAGTATTGGTTTTCCCGGTGGGAGGGCTTTCGAACACTTGCCAAGAATCTGGTCAGTTCGTCCGGTGGATAACCTATTCTTTCCACCATCGTCCTCATAGGGATATCAGCTTCGTGGATATTTAGCTGGCCGCAAAGTCGCCGTTGGATGTTAATTTTAGCATACAACCGACACAGCTTACCTTGACATAAGTGGTTTAACAAGTAAGTTCGTCTTTAATCCCATCCACTATAAACATGATATTCCCACTATCGATCTGTCGTTAAATTTCTTCACCCAGGTATTGCTTGAGACTCTATAGATAATCACTCACGTTCACGAGGACACGGGCCTTACTCTCAGCCAACTTTGCAATCTCTGTATTGTCCAACTGCTTTGAAGTATGTAACACTTTTCACTCCCCTTGTGAAACATTTAGTGCTTCTATCTGCTGAAAATTGAAGGCCGTAATTAACTGCCTTCTCCGCTTCTATTAAAGGAATATCTGAAACACAGGTTCAACACGGGATTATTTATTCCATCCTTACATACCATAAAATTCGAACTGTTCCCTAAAGGACAATCGTCTTTGACATTTGGTGGTCTACCTGACAAATTTACTACGCCAAAATAACTAGTGGACGATTCACGGTTTGCTGTGGGCTCGCGTGAACATTGAGGTATCGAAGATAACTTTTCGCCGCGTAAATGGGCAAACATGCTTTGACCATTGTTGTCAAGGCTCCCGATACGAAACTTTGAGTGACACGTAGGTTCGACAATTCCGAATATCAAAAGTTAAAATTAGGTTCGTAATTCTACGGTACTATTTACACAAGGGCGAGTAACTGTGTACAGTGAATCTCAACTGATCACGTTCGTAGAGTCATCTAATCCACAGGTGTCACTGACCGGCACAGTGCAGTGTCAACGTCCGCACACCAAGCAACGGCGAGTGGAATGATGGCTCAGTAGTGTGGGTTGCAATTCCCCCTTCCGATGATAGTCTCGTGATTCTCATTGGCCGTGAGATCACACGGACCTCATGAAAAAACAAGTCAAGGCAGGCCTAGCAAATGGGAAATGAACGCGCATGGATAAGTAGATCAGCTGCGCACATTCACACACTGATACACCAATACACAAGTGTCGGACGGGTCGGCCTGTGCGACAAAGTGAGTGACGGATAAGCAAAACAACTGGAGATCAAAAGCACATAGGCGGAGTAAGCAGCGACTTTTCGCATCAGATAAACTTCCCTTATGTTAGCGTGTAACCTACTCTGCCGGCACATAGTCTATCCCTGCACGTCACGAAGCGTTACTGGCTGTTACGTTTTGAAAAAAATGAACTTTAGAAGTACACTGATTCGTAAGACTGGTAAGCTATACAGCCAGTAAGGCTAAACAGAGTGAATTATTAATGGGGTTCTGTATTTGTAGATCCTTTAGTTTTATAAAGAACACATTAGGTTATTCCTGGGAGTACCAGTTAAAAAGGTCTAACCTCATCTGTGGACATCATATGTTACTGGTGACGCGGCGAGGTAATTCTAAGACCCAACCTCATTCTGTTATTTGTACTTCAGCATCGTCGTGAAAGGAGACGCGTGCGAAAGAAATTGCGGCAAACAGAACCTTCGAAATGCACTGACGTTGTCCCACAGCAACCACACAAAATAATTTTGTATCCACCACTAAACTCTCAGAAAAACTTTTGTCATAATTTAGTTGTGTATCCTTCTAAAAGGGTTCGTTTTGCTTCGGAGACTGTTGATCTCAACTGAAGCAAACATATATCTCCATTGTAAACCCCTATTCATTTATCCACAAACTCATCCTCAATAAAATAAATTCAGCGCTCCGCTCCTTTATGATGAGTAAATCTGTTATGCGAAGGTCTGGTCAGATGAGGGAACGACTAAATACCCTCGTAAATAAATGTTAAAAGAACCATTCATGTCCCTAGACATATTAGAGAATTTAATGAACCTCATCGTCTTGTGATGAAGCCTTTAAGCTGCTGGGAGAATCACCGGATTTGGGGCTTAATAGATTTCTTCATCAAGGTTCTTCATCACCAGCAGGCACCCGAAATTTAAACCCTACTATCCTGACGTGTGATGCAACTTCACAACCACTATTCAACTAGTGCAACCTAGCCACTCAGAAACAATGACATCTTGGGGGTGTGAATATTGTTTTTTAAGAGATGTGGTCCACAGAAACGTGTACGTATTTTGCTTCGGAGCCAGATGACATTTCTTCCCAATGGGTTGCTCGTCAAAGGAAAATCCATAGTCTTTCGAGGCAACACGAAACTCCACTGACAACTATGAATGCGGTGTACGGTTCTAACCAGTATTGGAACTTCCAAGGGAGATTTTTACATTGAAAGCCAGAAGTGTTTATCAAATAAACCCGAAGCATATGTAGTCGGAGGTTCAACAGTATTTCGTCAGTGATACCTTCATAACATAGGACATAGAAACACAATAAAAAAGGGGTCGGCCTAAAAGTTCATAACGAAAATGCGGGCTATTACGCTCACATTAAAAAAATCAAATAGAATCGTTTACACTACCAAATTATGAAAAGGCTGAAAAGTCTTAAGTGGACTTAGATTAAGTTGGGCCACAACCTCTCGGTTTCACTTATTGTCATCCGCTTGAATTAAATTAGCCATGCCCTTGACCATGACTTTGTCTTTACAAGGGTCGCCAAGACATCAGTCCAGTAAAAACTCTGTGGTGGAAAACATAACCCTGCATCCGATTGGAAAATTTAGACATCTCTACGACTCCCTAACGCTTTGGTGTTCATTGACCCTGAAATTCGAAAACGTCCCACTCAGTGCCTAATACAACCAACAAACCGGTTGCTATTGACCCTTCAAATACTTTGGTGTTTTGCCACCTGGTTCGATCGCTTCGACATTAATTTAACGCTTGAATTTGGTTCCTTGTGTTTCCAACCGCAAGCTGATACACTTTAGTTTGCCTTTACTTTCCATCCTATGATAATAGTGAAAAGTCGCAGACCAAAGGCCCCTTCCCTCTCTCTATTTTATCAAAACTGTGTTTAGCTTCTTCGACTCGTACACTTGCCGGAGCAACCAATCATGGAACAATATCTGACTGGCAGCTATCTGTATCAGTTGGTAAGTTAGTGCTTTCAGTTTTTGAGTAGCTGAACGAAAAAATAATTATTCCCGTATTATTTTAACTATTCTTTTAGTCATGATATTTTCACAGTAGCCTTTTTTCGTGGCTCAAATTTCACCTGGTTACAACAGCCAACTGGACATTCGTCAAGTATCTGCAAATAAGCAGTTTTACTTTTTCCCATTTAAAGATGGATCTTTCAGGAGAGGCATTTCGGTCAAGCCTTCAGTCATAACCAGTAACTCAGGTTTCTGCTCACAGCATGATTCACACATAATTCTGTTAAGGCGTGAAAAATAGGACATAACCCTTCATGAACGACGCCACACATTACCAAACAGGGATTTTGCAGGTTATCGACAGGAAAAGGCCAATTCACTCACGTAAATCCAACCTGTTTTTCTTTACAAGGGTCGCCAAGACATCAGTCCAGTAAAAACTCTGTGGTGGAAAACATAACCCTGCATCCGATTGGAAAATTTAGACATCTCTACGACTCCCTAACGCTTTGGTGTTCATTGACCCTGAAATTCGAAAACGTCCCACTCAGTGCCTAATACAACCAACAAACCGGTTGCTATTGACCCTTCAAATACTTTGGTGTTTTGCCACCTGGTTCGATCGCTTCGACATTAATTTAACGCTTGAATTCGGTTCCTTGTGTTTCCAACCGCAAGCTGATACACTTTAGTTTGCCTTTACTTTCCATCCTATGATAATAGTGAAAAGTCGCAGACCAAAGGCCCCTTCCCTCTCTCTCTTTATTTTATCAAAACTGTGTTTAGCTTCTTCGACTCGTACACTTGCCGGAGCAACCAATCATGGAACAATATCTGACTGGCAGCTATCTGTATCAGTTGGTAAGTTAGTGCTTTCAGTTTTTGAGTAGCTGAACGAAAAAATAATTATTCCCGTATTATTTTAACTATTCTTTTAGTCATGATATTTTCACAGTAGCCTTTTTTCGTGGCTCAAATTTCACCTGGTTACAACAGCCAACTGGACATTCGTCAAGTATCTGCAAATAAGCAGTTTTACTTTTTCCCATTTAAAGATGGATCTTTCAGGAGAGGCATTTCGGTCAAGCCTTCAGTCATAACCAGTAACTCAGGTTTCTGCTCACAGCATGATTCACACATAATTCTGTTAAGGCGTGAAAAATAGGACATAACCCTTCATGAACGACACCATACATTACCAAACAGAGATTTTGCAGGTTATCGACAGGAAAAGGCCAATTCACTCACGTAAATCCAACCTGTTTTCCTGTTATATCTGCTGGTTCGTCAATCTGTGGTATCTGCTGTTGACCCGCTCTAGTGCCTAGTGTCGGAGAGAAAAAACTCACAGAAGGGAACACAACAGCTATATTCCGAACAAGCGAGTGAGTGAGAGAGCGTGAGCGAGAGCGAGTGCAAGTGCAAAAGTTACAACGGCCCCACGCTATTTGAAGGAGACTTTCTGACATTGATCCAGGCTGTCTGATAGGCGTTAGTGATCACGCATCAACATCGATCGTGCCTCAGTGAAAAGCCTGAAAGCTGATCACATTCGGTCGTGCTTCTGTGGCGCAGAGAACACTCATCAGGTTTTACTGAATTGATCGAATGATTGACTGGCCTGGATGCTTGCCGGCTTTCCAGTTGAGCTTTTGGTGGAGCAGTAGGTTCCGGGCGTTCAGAAGTTGATTTCAGGAATCTGACCTTCCTGATATTTCCAAACTAAAACAACCAATGCGCCCTAAGAACAGCCTAGTTTGAAGTACGTAGCAGCTACCAGATCACGATATTCGTAAGTGAACAAGATAAAATATGAAGGAGACCCAGGCTAGCAGGTGAACCAAAATGCAGCTTCAGATGTTTTTCAGTGGGAAACTGACAAAGTGGGAAACAGAGGCTCCTAGTTGAATGTAAGACCAACCGAGCTTGGTATATTCACCTGATGAATGACATTAGAGTCGACTACCTGTGATATAAATATGCTGCGATATCCCGAACACCACAACGGCTGAGGCGACTTTATGCAGCACATTCAGTCAAGAAAATATCATTAACAAGAACTCAGCTGGAATTCAGTTGAGTCTTTCGTTTAAAGCTAATTCAGCCTCGAATGAGAGTATTCAGCGATTGTCGCTTGGAAATGAATGCCAACGGAATCCAAAGCACCGGATGGAAACAACATATCCCAGCACGTTATATCGCGCTTGAACCCTCCATAGTTTTAGGAATCGATTCTGTTTTTAAGCACATGGTTGAAAACGTTTCCCTTGTATAGTTCCGTAGAGGACAGGTTAGAGCCTTTTGGACAGCTCATGTCACCCGTACAGAGATATTATGCGGGTACAGGTAGGTGATAGTCTGGATTAGGTTTACCATGTAACCGCAATCTTAAAACTTCGCCGTTACAGATCAGTACATTCATCATCTTACTTGTCGGGCGTTCGGCTATGAGGGTTACGTCCTTTTCTGACTTATCCACGTCCCCTCGGTTAGACAGGAATTGTGGGTAATGTGCGGTATCTGTTGCCTTGCGATTACACTTCTCCCATTAACTTCCACTTGTTCACTTTTTTCCGTCAGGCACTGACTCACAAATCTCTGCACAAAGAAATTTTAGCCCAGATGCTTAGTCAGTCCATCAACTGGCCGTACGATTGGGGAACTCTGCAGGACTCAGACAAAGAGGATGAAGTTTGTCTGTTCGAAAACTTGGAGAATCGTCATCAAGGAACATACTCAATCGTCGATGGGACGCTGAACGCTATGGTTAGCAACACAAGCCATATATATGTGAATGACCTGAAACGGAGAGCTTATCGTCGTCTTTGGATGCACATTGCTGGGATTCTGACTTGTGGACGTCTATCTAGCACACTGAAACCAATAATTGTTCGGTCAGTCCCCAATGTGTACTGATGAAATTGGTCCGTATGTTGAAGCAGTCTCCTTTCTTCATTAGGTACACAGGCTGTATCAGGTATCTCATGAATTCGCAAGTTATAAGCCACAAGTTGAAGGATAGGCAGTTGAGTGAAGAACGGCTGACCAACAGTGTGTATGCCTCGCACTCCTTTGATTACGGAGTTTCTATCACCTGGTCATTTGTTGACTGGCTTCCTGAATGACGATTCTCAGATGGAAGGTTCAATCGTTTCATGATTTTTTCTTCCTCCTGAACTGTTTATATTTTGTTGGTAGCATGAGGATATCTAGGAGTGTTGAGTTTAGTGTATGCAGCATAGTTTCCATAGTTGGTCGCTAAATGAGCTGAATGACTTCATTCCGAGCATTGCGTAAACAGTCTGAGGTGATTTGGTCGGTACAATGCTGGGTAGTGAGGCGGTCGATACACGCAACGGAGTGCAGCTACTCATACACATACGGTCAGCATGACATTCCCTTCAGTTATGCTCGGTTGTTGCAGTCTGCGATAATTTTGATCTACTCGTTTTTGATAGCGATCACAGGGCTTGTCCCTTTCAGCTCTCCTGGGCTCCCGACCTGAAACTCCCAGAGCTTCGTGCTGCGATTTATTGGCAGCATTTAAGGACGACTCCAGTGCTTTGGGTCTGTCAGTTTGAGTAACCGGCATTTGTATGCAGTGGTAGGTAGATTAGGTCCAGTCCCACACTGTACTTGTCGTGGGATACAATGCCTACAGGACTTTTCTTGCTTCCCATGTACCTCAGCTTGTCGAAATCTAGATATTTTCCCGATAAAAAATATTTGACCTTCTTGATCAATTTCTATATATACCAAGGACGAATTATATAGAACTATGTTGTCATCTACTTACGGACAAACTAGTGAACTGACGGCACTACAGATCCGTACAATTAATCATAACTGAGGGTCAAGCCCCGTGGTTTGAATGTATACCAAAAAATACACACAAGTAATTTGGACCACCGTCACTGACACAACAATCCGTTCATGGTGCTCACCTCAGTGAACAAACCATATCCGTTACTTATCCGAACTTTTTGTGTTTGGATTAATGTACTGCTTTTTTCGTTGAATGACGCCCCTCAATCCTGTTATTACAGGTTCCTGAGGCAACACGGTCCGCCCAGATCTGTACCGCTTTGTGAGGATCGTCTGGTCCTCGCACCATCTGTGCCGCGTCTCTATCCACCCTGTCTTCTGGAGTGGCGCGTGAACTATACGGGGACTAACATGGGCATTAGTCTTACTTTTCCGGATGGTGAGTTTTTTTCGTTAAGGCAACTGTATATGGCACTGAGTGGTTTGGTAATTCTGTAGACAGCTTCCGAAAAATTCAGCCTGATTGTTCACCGAACGTCAAACGGTACAGTCTAGAAACCGGTGACCCGGTAACCGCCGACAGACACAGGACAAACACGACAAACCGTTTCGATCATTTTAAAAATGTGACTCTTGGACAAAGGGTTAAACCGCGAAACAGCCTACGAACCAGTGATATCATGCAATGACTTCTTTACAAACGCAAATGACTGATAGGCAAGCGAATACAGAAAAGAGGCCTTAAGTGTATCCCCTCGGTGTATTATTTTTACAGTTATCTTACTTGCGATCAGGTGCTAGTAGGCTGTCACTGCAGATAGGTTGTTCGCTTAGTCTTCATATTTCCCCCAATACTGTAATAGTGAAATAGTTCAACAACGACAACAACCATGATAACTTAGAGCATCTAATTCCGAGCATTTGTCCTATTCCCAGGTGACTTCCTACCAAAAACACGTGCAATTTGTTTGCAAAATGAAATCACTCGCGTATTTACGCATTTGATTATCCGTTTGTTCAGCTCGGCCAGGAGCATTTGGGTTACCTACATATACTAGACTGTCGGCAGCTAATACACGGTCATAGCTCACAATATGCTAATGATATGCACAAAGAAGTCGCGTTACAATTAGTCACTCAAGAAACAGACTGCAGGAAACTGCAGACTAAAGGCAGTCAAGCGATATGCACAGTTGGTTGGTGAAACTTATTCATCATTAGATACATACGAGGACTACGGACGAGGAGCCCGAATGTAACTCCCGAGTAGCGAAATATCAGTAATCTGATAAACGCATGACCAGAATAGGGTTCCAAATTGGACACTGTGAAGAAAGTGGGCGGTAAGTGTAGAATGTTTGCCGAAAACCCCTAAAACGTCATAGGTATACTGGTTTCTTATTGTTTCTGATATATCACGAAAAAATGGACAAAAGGATAGCCCAAACCAAGAATACGACGTAGGAGTTAACCACTGATGATGCCAGATAATTTGGTGTCCATTGAAATCCGTAGTGTAGTGCAAAAAAGATCAACCACTGCGAACTACTCCTTGAAGTCTATTCCTCACATAACTACAGTTTGTATCATAACCAAACTCAAAACTGACATCGTACGTTTTCGCCTGAGTTGGGTAACTTAATATTTTCACTCATATGGTCAGAATAAATCAAAGGTTCTTCCAGCCGAGCATAAACCCAGTTTCAAGCTTCTCTTTAAAACATGCTTGACTTTCTGCACACACGACCCACGAAGGCAAAACCACTCACTAAGGTGTCATGGAACTGGTATCTCAGTTGCGTCATCGGCAATCCAAGAATCTCATCCCTTGCCATGGTGAGTAATATTGAGGAGTGGAAATCTCCTTAGCTCCTTACCTCTCTCTGTGACAATGAACCTCGGAACTGGGGAAAACTGCTTCAGCATTATCATAGGAATGTGCGATGTATCGAAGTAGATGTTATGGTGATCCAAACGCCCCGGCACATCTGACGATTGGGTCATGCGAAACCGAATCAAGCGCTTTCGAGATATCAACGAACGCCAGGCTGAGGCTAGAAGCAGTTGCTGAAGAGTGACGAAGCAGAGCATGTAACAGCGATATAGCTTCCGAACAGCCGTCTCGATTGAGAAATGCAAACAGGAGTGAGGGGAGTTGCAATCTATGACTCCAGCGATCAGCAAGCTCTTTATGAAAGCAAGAATGGATGACACGAGATCGGTCTAGGTTGATTTGGTAAAGTCGGATTTGGGAACTCCGGAATTAAGGTAATGCGTGCACGACACAGATGTGGGGGTCAACCCCCAGATAATAACAATAAGTTTATCTACCCAGTGAGCACGGTAGCATTGAACCGGCGGAACATCCTGGGCTGGAGCGTGTCCGGGCCTGGAGACGAATCGCCCATTAAACGGATCGTGCGGCCGACTTCCTCTCCTGTAGCTGGCTTGGTCAAGCTCCAGTAGCGGCTTGACCGACTATTCACGTGTTTTGGAACTGATAGCAGCTGTTTCCAATACTTCCCGGCCTCCAGAGGTAGGCCACAGTTACCTTTCTATATATCCATCCATGACTCATCGAGCACAGCAGGTGCTGCATCTTTACGTCTTTGGTGGCATAGAGTCTGGATGGCGGCGTAGTTGACTCGGCGGATCTGTTTTCGGTTGACTGGGATCCGATAGGCTAACTGACAGCGGCGACGTGATACAGTTTTTCAGGTGCGTGGAAATGTCCTGAAGGCGTGGAGGTCCAGGAGTGACAGGAATTGCTCCGGTGTCATGATACCAGATTGCGACCCTCGGGCAAATGCCAGAAGGTCAACTCTAGCGAGCGAACTGTCAGCATCAGATTCCAAGAGTGACGGCACAACCCACGGTTTGTTTAAACCGGAAGCTATAGTCGTCGGCTTCTGATGAGTAGGCCGCCATTTGACCGATAGTTTGGTCTGATGCACTAGATGACGATTCGTCCAGTAGTGCTTGCCAGTTAAGCACCAGTAACCTGGTCTTGATGCTAATTACCGATCGACCAAGAATATACTGCTCCAATCTCGCGAACAGCGCGGTTTGCGTACCACAAGACGCATATACATTTTTAGCCTGGCACAAGAGCGATTGTGACCATTGTTGTGACCAGTGGGTGCCGGAATACTTCACTCGGCCAAGCCTATCTGCATTATGTTGTGTTTTGCGTGCGGGCGACGTTGACTTAAGCCAATCTTCGTCGGAAAAAGGCGGGAACACTCAGCGCACGCCGATTGGGCGACCATATTTATACCAACACTTTCATTGTCGTGAACTCGACGGTGGGCTACCAAGCCAGCGTTCGATTTGTGGCAATTGCCACATTCCTCATACCTCAGCCCGACGAGTCTCTCCTGTGTACTGGTTGGAACTGGTGCGGAGGCGCCAGATGATTCGTAGTGTACACCGTCGAAACAGGGTGGTTAGTCCTCTCTGGAGTTGCTAAACTCTTAGCTCACCCAGGCTGATGTCCAGGCTAACCAATCGGCACTCAATGAGCTCTCTCTCTCAAATGTCACTTTTTATCCGACTTCGAATTAGTGCAGTCGCTGACTTGCTATTCGTAACTCTGATCACACCAACAGATAGTTTCACGCATTTACGATGAGGATCTGCTTCCGTTGTGTATATATTACGAGAGACTCCTTAATTCAGTCAACACATTAATCACCCTTATTCTACCGTCTGCATTGCGGTAGAATCCGTTCACTTCTCTTGCAACATCTAGATCAGTGTTGTGCAAGACACTCGGTGCATATGACAAAGCATTTTTCATGACATTTTGAGTGTTTTTTATTTGACAGTTGCATCAGTCCAATAAGTTGATGACATGAATTTTTCGGGCTTGTTGGAATGTTCAATTTCTATACCATTGGTTCACCAAGTCGGAGGTGGGAATTAAAATTTGTGCTGTACATTTTCAGACGGGGAGATAAATTTTCACCACACCGCGCGTGACAGTGGTCCTGAATGGATCTTCCAAGACGAAAACGAAATTGTCACACCTCCAAATGTTCTGCATTATGATGGATAGAACATCCAGAGACAGCTAATGTCAAAAGAATAGGGCGGCTTCCAGCTTTTAAAGGTTTTTACTCAATGCCACCTTTTGATAGAAATAGGTAGAAGAGCCTGAGGTATTAGATAATGGACATACGATGAGTCTAGCAGAATTCCCCTTTTGTAGCGTCGACGATGCTCAGTACTTTAGTGATTTACGCCTGCCGGTGAGGTTGACCAGTATCTTGAAGCCGTTCCTTAGCGCAAATCAAGTCTATGTGATGACGGTACTGTGAACAGATAACGTGGTTCCATGTTGGTTTAAGTGACCTGCTTTGGTCTTCCAGCAATCGAATTCCTAGAGGTCATCTGTCCGTTTATTTTGTGACCATCAAAATGTCTCGGAAAATGACCTAGCCCACTCTGACACTTGCCTTTAGCTCAAAGTGACCAAAACCGATTTCTTTCTCTAAATTTAAAATGCAGTTGACGGCTCCAGGAAAGGCTGGCTAAACCGTTAAAATTCGGAAGTCGAAAAGACAGGTAGTTAGTTAGATAGTTTGGTGGTTAGAAATGATAGAACTCGTTATTTATTGCATTAAAAACCCCAGAGGCAAGAAACACCAGAAATACCTTCGTCGACGATTGAATGTTTTTCGACGAAACGCCTTGGTACATGTGCTGGAAAAACCTTAATCAAATAGCCGCGAAAAATCTCAGGCGAATGAATTACTGTTCTGGCCTCTCTCCAACTCCTAATCGCACAAAAGTTCCAAGCACAACCCGAAATCCGCCTTCTATCCATGTTAATGACTGCTGTGTGATTTAAAGTTATATATCTCTTGGTATGTGTCTCCTAACGGAAGCAATTTTTGTAGATATAGGGATGGTTTTGCAGTCATTGTTGTAACCACTGTGTATGCTCACAATTCATTAAAGTGAATTTCCCAATGATCCATTTTATTGTTCATCGTTGTTCCAGGTCTTGTATCCACCATACATGTAGGCTCCTTCACCAAAGCGGAAACTCTTGCCGGAGTAGCAATGGCATTGAGGTGAGTTGGGCTATTCCAAAAACATTTTGTCACTGCAAAGTCACTGGTTTAGTAATGATATATATATATATATATATTTATATATATATTCTCGTAACAATTCACACATAGTTGTCTGTTTGAGCGGAGAGGATTTTAGAGTTTCCGGTGAACAGTCAGCACACTAATATTCACGCA